TCGATTTTGAGACGGTCGGTTCAAAGGGGACAGTGGAATCCCAGTCCCCAAAACTCTTACCCTTTTACAGACTTACTGTGGTAATTTGTTTGATTTTTTTTTTTGTACTTCCGAGTTAGTGGCTCCCACTTGAGAGTTCTGTCAGCTGCTACGTGTCGCTGTTTTAGGGCATTAGGTATTAGTGGGCTTTTTGGGCCCAATCTTATAGGCTCCAATTAATCTTGGGCCTAATCAATTAAGTTGCCGACATGTGAATATTAAAAGTGCTTCACCAACCTATCAATTTATCTGCAACCGCTATCTATAAATATGTATAGTTATATTATATATACACACACACACACGCGTGTAAGTATGCCTTTATGGTATGTGTATATGCAGGGGTAGAGGTGGCTTTGTAAAATTGAATTTTCTGCCGAAAATTTATTCAGCCCGATAACTTCTATAAATGCTTTCGAAGAGAGAGATCCAAGAAAGCCCAACCTCAAACCCAAAACACGCAGAGAGAGAGAGAGCACGTCTCTCTCCTTCGAATAGAAAGAGAGAGAGAGAGAGAGATCGGCGATCAGACAAGAAGAAAACGAAAGGATTATCAAAACGATCCTCGCGTTCGTCAAAATCCGGCTGCGATTCTCATCGATCACCGGTCTCGCGAATCGATTTGGTCCCCGGCGAATAAGAACTTCGTAGGAGGAAGAAGAAGAAGAAGAAGCGGAGGGAAATCGGCGGCGGAGAATGATGTACGTGAGGGCGGTGCCGCCTACAGATGTGAATCGGAATACGGAGTGGTTCACGTACCCAGGTGTTTGGACCACTTACATCCTCATCCTCTTCTTTTCGTGGCTCATCGTCCTCTCCGTCTTCGGCTGCTCTCCGGGCATGGCCTGGACCATCGTTCATCTCGCTCATTTCGTCGTAATCTCTCTCTTTCTATCACCCTTTCCTTTTTCCTTTAGTTTTTCGATGTGATATCGGTCTCTTGGGTATCGATCTGTTTGTTATGTGTCTATGGTCGCCTCTGGGTTTTTTATTTTACCGATTGAAGTGGATGGATTTCTTGGTATTTGGATGATCGACTTGAGAAAAAGTTCTGCTGATTGATAGTTATGCTTCTGGTATGCTTGTTCACGGATACTGAACAGTTGTAGGAGGAACTAATTCTCTTATGACAGGGATTGGAAACTCGACCCATGCTGTGAGATTGCTTCACAGTTTTTATGGATAATCATGAGAGTGGGAATTTAGATTTGTAGCTGTATTCAAGTAAACAAACGGTGGTGAATGGTGATAATGACAGAACTCTGATCTTCTTGTAGGTGACATATCATTCCTTTCACTGGAGGAAGGGCACACCTTTTGCCGATGACCAGGGGATCTACAATAGGTTAACCTGGTGGGAACAGATAGACAACGGCAAGCAGCTCACACGCAACAGGAAGTTCCTGACCGTTGTTCCTGTTGTCCTGTAAGCTTTTCTTCCCTCATATAATGCTTCTGGGTTTTGTTTTATTGTTCACATCTGAGCTTGAAAGCGTGTCGACAGACTTGGGTTTCATTTAGAGTTTATGACATTCTATGCCAACTATATTTTGAGCGGGGAATATGTAAGATAATGAGCGTGTTTTATCATATTTCTTTCACCATCTTTCACTAGGCCCTTTACTTTGAAATAAGCATCCTGCTGTCTCATGCAAGTTATACTACATTTTCTCAGTTCAATCTAGCACATGACTTGCTTAGGTGCTCCTTTCCTTAAGTCTTAAGGTTATGTACGTATCATATTATCCACTGCCCTCTGCTTTCAGATGTTCGAAAGAATAGAAAGAGGTGTTACCTCTTGTATTATCACCCATCCCTATCACCCTCGTTACTTAGAGAGGTACATCCAAGAAGTCATTCCCTGTCTGTTAAATAAAATGCTAGTTGTTGGTAAGGAGAATTGATTCTTGTTCATTATTCTACGTATGACACGGCTGATATGTTTTTCTTTCTACTGCATTTGTGACTTGTTTGTTCCACTATATTTCATGAATAGGTAGCCCCATTTTATGCGGAATACAATTAGTGCCCTTTCCAGTTTTCCAGTAGTTGTCGAGTATTGCTTCAAAACTTTTATGATCCCAAATTTGGCTTTGGATCCATTCTGTGATTAGGTTAGGACCTGCTTGCTTGTTATTGTAAATTAGGTTTGGAGACTTTTCTAATGTCTGAATGGCGAACCTTGTTTTGGTTTTGTGCATCCACCCTGCATCTCGCCCTGAGATCCTATATTCATTCTTCAGACATTCATATGGTGGTTTAGTAACACTTCTCAATCTTATACTGAATTACTTATCATTCTTGGTTTATTATCACCCTATGAGAGGAGTTGTATATTCAGTACCAATATCATCACATTTCCTCTTCTCTCTTCCAATCTAGTAATATTCTGAAGTAGCAGAGTCGGACAGATTGATGTCTGTAACCCGATCTTTTTCTGTGTTTGGAGTGTTTGTTTTGTTGTAAAAGGACCAACCCAGTTCGTATCCCCATCTAGTGAGGGTGCTGGGGAAGGGAATATATTAGGCCACCTTACCCCTACATTTTAGTGTAGAGAGGTGAATTCGAACCCGCGACCTCAGACCCCACGGTAAATGGTTTTACTGCTGAGTCAAGTCGGCCCTTTAGTGTCTGTTCTGTTGTGCTGGGTGTTAATATGTTTGGACATATTCCTTGATATTTGGCAGTGATATATACCAAAAAGAAAAGGGATAGGATCTCATGAATGCTTTTGTAAGCAGGTACTTGATAGCCTCGCACACGACGGACTATCAACATCCGATGCTATTCCTCAACACACTGGCTGTATTTATACTGGTGGTTGCGAAATTCCCGCACATGCACAAGGTCCGTATATTTGGAATCAACGCCGACCAATGAGGAAGGCGCAGTGCCTTTGTTTGGTAAAAGGTAATTTGTAAGTCTTAATCAACGTATCTATCTATCTATATGTACAGACATTGGGACCAGAAATGGATATACCCACCACATATGAGATATATACCCTTTTAGATTCTTATGTAAAAGTAAGCAATATATACTCAATCTCGAAAGTTGTAAGGCTCCATAGAACAATAGCTCTTCCTCCTCACTTGTTTATTATTGTTATTATCATGCTATAAAGATGGTGAAATCTCAATCTGTTCTTCTTTTGTCTTTTATGAATCAAAGTACTGATTTGGCAGGCTTCTGCCAACTGCTAAGATTAGGTTTACGTGTGTTACAAGGAAGTTTGAGAGAGATGACCTAAGCAGAGCAGACAGAGATGGGTTAGTAGTAGCTGGAGGAACACACGCCTTAAGAACACTTGGGTTTTGGCAATGTCCGTGAAAAAGTGTAGTCACGCAATCTATGTGACTTCGGGGGTTTGGTTAAAAAGCGGAGTCCTGTTTCGTGGAATGTCGCCTCTTTTCTCTATAACTGTCTTTTGTTTATTTCTTCGTTCTCTTTCATATGCATTTACCTGCCAGTTAAAATCCCTTTGCTTACGTATAGACGGATGAACCCCCAGTTAAAATCACCCTGTTCGGCTCCTTACGAAACCGTAACTCTTTTAACACATTTACTATAATATCTCACACGTCATCCATTAACCGCTCCGTTACCCTTCCTTCTTCACGGCAAAAAAAAAAAAAAAAAAAAGAGCTGACATGGATTGGGCGGCGCCATTATATATTGAAAAAACTTTTGAGAGGAAAAAATTAATGATAATTTAAATTAGTGTAAATATTAATTTATGCAAGGCATGCATAATTTGTTATTAAAACAAACCACTAATTAATCACATAGAAAACATTAAGTTAGTGGTTCTAAACTTGATTTAGGGGTACGTTTAGCGCTTCGTCATCCAACTCATCCCCCACTTCCTTCCTCTCTTCAATCTTAGTGCCTTACAGCCAATCACCATAATCCCTACACTCAAGTGTACATTTATACAACAATATATACATACACCCACGTATATGAGAACGTATGTAGTATCTGCACAATTTCTCTCTCATACACTAACACTATGTATATATATATATATATATGTATGTATCTGTGTGGTGATTTACGGTATAATAGGAGAGTTGTTTTTGCTTAAAATGAATATATGCAACGGTGTACGTTATGTGGTTCATGACTCCGTTACACTCTTGAGCTCATACATTTTCCTAATAAATATTTTGGATTCTTTTTAGACAACCAATTGATTGTTTCCTTGTGATGAAATCATCTTTTCTCTCTCCGTCGAAAGAGAATTATCGTAGTAATTATTTTATTACACGACAAACATTAGCTGACGGTAACAAAAAAAAAAAGCATGGAACGAACGAACTCAATTCACTAACGAGTTATTTTTTCCACGTGTGAAAGCAAATTCAAGTAAGTGGAGATACCGCAAACTAGGGGTGGGCGTTTGATATTTTTCCAGATTCAAACCGTTTTAAATTATCGCACGGTATTATTTTTAGAAAATCGAATTTTCCAAAGCCAAACTGAATCGAACCAAATTTTAAAAAATCTCCGAAAAACCAAATTTTGTTAAAAAAAATCTAATTTTTTATAAAATTTGGAACTGAAACGAACCGAACATAATACAAAAACCGATTGGTATCTATTTTTGTAAAACCGAAAAACCGAACCGTTCCCATCCCAAACCCAGAACGATTCCCGATAGGTCCAGCCCTACGTACTGCAGACTATGAAACATCGTTCGTATTTCAATTAATCGTATCATATAATAGACGTAGGTTTTAATGGGAACAAGTGGGAGAATTCCGACGGTCCAAATAAATAAATAAAATTCCAATGAAAGTTAGTTAGCTAAGGTCTAACGTAATCTCATGTTACAGCGTAAGAAATAGGTCCATCCAATCATGTTACAGCGTTATGTTGGGGGAATAATACGAAAATAACGGGAGCATCGGGAGAGGGGAAGACAGGGGAATGTTCGAGTGGGACCCACTTTGAAGCCCTCAATCAACGGAGACCTCGCTCTCTCTCCCCCCACCACAGCCCCAGAGCGCTCCCTCGTGGACGTAATCATCGCCCGTTTTGAATTTAATTTATTTGATTTCTTCTGCATTTAATATTTTCCATTTCAAATCTCCAATATATAAACAGCATGTAAACGAAGTCAAGACAGTGTGAAATTTATTTGTAATAGAACGCTCTTCTTTCTTTGGATGTGGTTGGAAATATGGCAGCTGGCTAATCTTATGGCCACTTGTGAAGAAAACCGGAGCAGGGGTCTATACGTAAATTCATCTGTCCGTAAATGAAGTAAAAAAAAAAATCCAATCACTAAGCACTTATTTTCCGTATTTAGTATAGAAACAACACAAGGGTTTGATTTAGTTTTTACTAAGAAGAAGAAAAACAGAAAACAGTTGTTGTGTTGTGCCTCGAGTACAGTCTTACGGCATGTATATATATGTATATGTATATGTGTGTATATATATATATAGAGAGAGAGTTGTTACAGATGAATCAGTAATGAACTAAAGAGATTAAGAGCCTAAATACAAAGTCATACAATCCCCAACCCAACAAAGTTATAATAAATTCTTTTAGTGACAGAACCCGAAAAAAAATATATATATAAAAGAGAAACATAATCAAAGAGTAAATAATACCCCCACCGGTTGGTAGTTAACCTCTCTCATCATTTTTTTTTAAATTTTGATGAAAATTTCAATAGTTTGATCCCATAATCACCATGATCCACCAAGACCACCACCACCCAACATGCCATTCCAAAACCCGCCGGATTGGTCCGCCTGTTCTTCCCTGTCATGTTCATCAGTACTTCCTTGATGGTGATTGCTGTTATCGATTCCATTATCTCCACCGCCACCGCCACTGTTGGTACTTGATGATGAAACAGGTAATTTCAGATTCTCGAATGGGAACAAAAGCCTCCCACTTGTGGTTGTCGCATTGGGACCGTCTTCCCGATTCAGAGGGTCATGAGGATCAAGGGAGAAACCCAGAGCTGGCCTTATGAACTCTTGCATTGGTGGGTAGTTCAGACCAAACCCAGATACCGCCGCGGCGTAAACTGATGGGTCGTGAGCAGTGGGCAAAGCCATAAAAGTGGAACATGAAGAAGCAGAAGATGATGATGACGACGATGCTGAGATCCCCAGAAGCTCAAAAGCAGAAGATGATGATGGTGAGACCAGTGGGTTCTTTATGATGTTGGGCATCTGCAGAAACTCAGAAACACTGTTATGGGCATTCCCAAAACCTTGAGAAAATGCCAAGTTCGTCTCTTTAGCTTCATGGGCATTCCCGATCGCCTGAGAAAAGGCCGAGTTTAGGCCTTTAGCTTCGTGGGTATCTGTGATCTTAGGGTTTTGACAAGATGGCGGCTGTTGTGGCGGTGCTCTACTAACGAAAAGATGTTTCTTCGGAGAAGAGGATGGGGGGTTTGAAGAGGAGGAAGATCTCTTGTTCTTCCTTGATCCGCCGCCTACTGGGATATTTCTAAGAGATCCACCTTCAGTCCAGTACCTTCTACAGGTTTTGCAGAAGTATCTTGGCTGAGTCAGGCTGTAGTTGTTGTAGTAACAGAACTTGGTGTTCGTTGAGTTACACCTCGGACAGTTCAAAGCTTGGTCCTTTTGTGGCCTTGTCTTTCTCTCCGCCGCCGCCCCGACCGCCG